AAAGAAGAACAAGAAAGATTTGCAGATTATTAAATAGAGGTCAAAGGCGCGACAAATCTAAAATTATCAATGACACCTCTTTCCTGTAAAGATATAGAGTACTTTTTCTGTACAAAATTAAGAATGGTATTTAGAGAAAAAATTCGTTACGTTTAAAACTGCTTTTTTTGAAACAATGTCAATAGACAAGAAATGTAAATAAGGAAAGCTCAGCTTTATATAATTCGTTTTTAATAGTCTATTAATATTTACTCACATTAGAATCAGTCGTAAAGATAGAATATTTGTATTTAGTCTTTCTTCGAGTTTTTAAGCAAAAAAATTTTGAGAAAGATGAATAAAATTGAAATTTTCTGTACTTTGCCAGGTCAATTGACTCGCTATTTGTGAAGACTACAAAGAAGGATACCGCTTTCTCGTCAGGTTTATCCTTTAAGCTTTTTCATGTTATATTGATTCTACTGTTTATTACTAAAACAAATAGTCCGATTATCACCAGTTATTCTATGTCAGATTTCGTACAACTGCGGCTTACAGTAATTTTGTGAAAGAAAGACATGCAAAGTAGACGAAAAAACTGCTATTCAGAGATATCAAAAACCAGTATTTCTCAAATCCCAACATTACTACCTTAGAGGTGCAACCTCCTAACTGTCTTAAAACAGAGGACATGTAAAAAACAGCTCTTTTTTCTTGTCATTTTATAGATACTTCTATCAGAATTTTTTATTTTCTATCTTTTACGAAATCTATTTATTTTTTTGATGCTGATAAAAAACCAATTTTTATAAAATTTTGAGAAAAATTAACTTTCAAAACTGTATATGTCAAACTTTTTTGCAATTCAAAAAGGTTTATTGATGCTCAAAATGCTACATAGGTTACAAAATTGTTTTAATAATAGAGAACAGTTTACAAATAAGGTCGATTACCGATCAATTATCTATAAGAGCTAACAAGAAACCTTTCGCATCTTGGTGACAGTGGTATTCAGATGCACGGGTTTCGAGCTTACTGTTAAAAAAGTATTATAGTTCTTCCTGCGTATGCACGGAAAACAATGGTCGTTCTCTTTGCAGCTGGGAGTGCCACATTCAAAAGTTCCCATTCATTTCACAGCTTTGTTGTTGCATTCGGTTGCATAGGACGGTAGCCAGAAATTTTTTTCTACAATCTTAAAACGACATTTTTCAGAATAAACTTTTCTGTTTGCTGTTTTAGGTTTGATTTTCCTTTTCTTATGTCTTTCATTCGGTTTTCTTTCTTTTTTTTTTGATTGTATTAATAACAAAAAAAAAACGTAATTTTTTGGAGTTGTGCTACTAAATGATAAGCACAGTATGACAAGGAATAAGTAATGGATTAAAATATGCTTGCAGACTGGACTACCATAGGTTCATTCCGACAAACCAAACATGTCAACATTTACTTTTTTGAACTTATCAACTGAAGTAACCTAAAGAACATACTTTTTTTTTTCTACATAACATATCTTTCTTACTTTTTTTGTTTTATTTAACTCGTCAATTATTTTTTGTATTTTAATTTTTACTTAAAAACCCTAAAAAATCAAATCTTTTGTTTTTCAGATTCTTCAGTTGATTGATGAAAGTGCTTCTAAACTGTTTCTCTTCTGTACTGCTTGTCGTAAGTATAAAAGTCTTTATGAATTGTAACTGGAAAAAACTGTCTTACCGTTTACAGTTTTTTTTTTTGATTTCTGGTTTTTTTTAACTTATTTATGCAATATTTTTTTACACAAGAAAAAAACTGAGGCAAAGAATTCTATGTAAGTGTGGTAAAAATGATTTCATTCAAAAAAAATTTTTTTATGGAGTCAAAAAAACTTGTTTACGTTTATCTGCTTTGGATACGAATGTCTTTAAATGTAAAGACAATGTCCTACAGCAACAGTAAAATTAAGTTTCACTTTCTTTTTTTTACCAAACATTCTGCTTGGAATTTGAGTGGATAAAATAAAACAATAATGGTCAAATTTAAAAGGGGTGCGAGAAGAAAGAGAGAATCAAAAGAAGAGGAAAATTGAGTAGGGCAATATAAATTATTTATTAGGCAAATACTGGATGATATCTGTAGCTGTTAATATCAATTGTTAACAAATTTTCTTTTTTATTGTTTTGACAGGCTTACATTTGTGTGGAATTTTTACCGGAAGCGAATGCGGAAGAGTTGTCGAGAAAAAAAGAAGTGCGTTTTCCAAAACCTGTAACAACACGTCGTGTAGTAGGCTATCGTGACCAAAAGCAAATTGATACACGAAGACAGAAACGTCAAGATAGACTTGGTGATCCTGCTCCTACTCAGCCCTCGGAAATCGACGATCCGGAGACATCACCTGAAACTGAAAGAGACATTAATGAAACTACCCAGCCAGAAGATATCGGCGATGTTGGTGGAAAGAAAGCTAAAGCTGGTTCTGCAGGGGTTTCAAAAACAATTTACGCATACGTTATTACTGCACTTTTGAGCTTTTTATTC